TTTTCAAGAGGAACCCTACATGGGGAATCGCCCGCCTTTCGTTGGCAACTAATCAAGAAATTAGGCGAAATGGCCAAATAGAAATTTCGGAGGGCTCATACCAAGTGTTTTGAATGAAAAGCAAAAGATTTCGATAGCCAAGGATTCCAACATTCGACCTCGTGTCTCTGAAGCAATGCACTTATCCACTAGGCCATCGGCGGCTTGCCGCATGCAGTTATCCTTCTCAACTTGAGCAAACGGAGCTAAGATTAAATGGTCCGTAACTCCCTTTGGAGAATCGTTCCGCAAAATCGGAGGGCAGATTTGGATTCAGCGGCTCAAGACACGTCCATATTTATACATCTCACTGCAAATGGCCGGATCGACCTGTTGGGGTTCCCTTGTCAGTACTCTTCCCCTTCACGAGAATGGAGGCAGTGCTTTCTGAGCCATCTAATAAGTGACTGAGTCACCACCTCTTTTTCTGCGTGAGGTTGCTTGTTTGAAAACTTCCCTGGCATGTAACTGTTGTGAAAGTTCCAAGCCGCTCGGGAACCCACAACACTAGCAACCATAGCTCTTCCAGCTCTCACCAGAGAAGGCACCAACATACCATGGAAGTTTGAATGGAGACCTGGGTAGATCGATAGAGTCTATAAGGTTATTTACAAATATAGATAGCAAAACTGCAACCTGCATTTCACAAGCAACTTATGAGCAGGTAAAGTTTGTAATGGTGCAGTAGGGTGGAGGCTTGGTGGTGAGCTGTGAAGCATAAGCGAGGAATCGCATACGTCGAATCGAGTCGTGGTGGTTCAGTGGTAAGGTTCGACGACTCGATTCGACGTATGCGATTCCTCGCTTATACATCACAGCTCAACACCAACACCACACACATTTACCTGCTCATAAGTTGCTTGTGAAATGCAGGTTGCAGTTTTGCTATCTATATTTGTAAATAACCTTATAGACTCTATCGATCTACCCAGGTCTCCATTCAAAGTTCCATGGTATGTTGGCGGACTTCCCTGGTCAAATGCTGAAGAATAACTATGACATGTTCCTGCTAGAATGAATAGGAGATAGTGCATTTGGTATTGATTGGTCGCACTTGGTCATTGCGCCGTGCATTTAACACTCACGCAAGAGTGATGACAAGGTGCAACTTCTACGTAATGTCAGACCTATGGGACGCACGTTGCTGATGGTGAGCTTTTCGGATCAATGTTCAGAACTTTACCACAATTTGTGTGGTCATTCTGTAGTGCTGAGTGAACCTGTTCTCACAACCCCTCAATATTAATATTAGGTTGTTCGAAAAGTCCTGCGACACTTTGATTGAATTGTTCTAGAAAAAGACCAAAAATCATTTTGAATGTTTTTATCTCTGATTAGTGGAGACTGTCTCCTGAGGTTTCTGAAAATGGGTATATCATGGCTCCGTGGAAGTTTTCAAAGCTTAAAAATACCTCAGAGATCGAGGTACTTCTCGACCTATCCCATATTATGAGTTCCTGTAGGGCAACTCCGCCATAGTCGAGGAAGCTAACACTTACGTTGTCTTGAGGAAGGATATCGCTTGCCATAGCAGAGGGTAGCTTTTGCATCAGCGCTTCCAGGCTGGACTTATTCAACTCGGAAGTAGGCAATGTATAGGTCGGCCACCAGCACAGAAAGATCGG